CGTAGAGCAACGCGCAGCATGGGAAATCTGGATCCGAAATTGTCCGCTTGCAGAAAGCTAGGACAGGCAGACTCTACTGATCCGCCGCAGTTTGATTCGAGATTGTATGCTGCAGGGTGTGAGGATACAGACGAGGGAACCTGAACGAGCCCAGAGGTGGCGGGCAAATGATTTCACCCTTAGGACAAAGCCGGTGGTATAATACTCAGCTGCCAACTGAGTTTGATTGACTCCGGCATGTCTGGGACCTTCCACCGTTCTAATAGTGTTATACTACCCAAAGGGTGTGTAAGTGGGTTCCCTTGGTTTTTGCAGCAGATGGGGTGGGTTCCCTGTGGGTTCCCTTGTTTCTTGCAGCACTTCAGGTGGGCTACATATGGGTTCCCTAGTTTTTTGCAGCATTTCGGGTGGGTCTGTGTATGTTCTTCATTGAGCTTTCTTGTAGATTCCCATGGTTTTTGCAGCATGGACGGTGGGTTCCCTGTGGGTTCCCTAGTTTTTGCAGCATTTTTAAGTGGGCTCCCATGGTTTTTCACCGTCGATACGGTGGGTTCTCTGTTTGGTTCCCGGGTTTTTGCAGCATTTGAAGTGGGTTCCCATGGTTTTCCAATAGGCTCTTTTGGCTTTTGCAGCATGTCAGCTGGGTTCCCTGTGGGTTTCCTAGTTTTTTGCAGCATTTTTAATGGGTTCCCATGGTTTAACAGCATCGACGGTGGGTTCCCTGTGGGTTCCTTGCTTTTTGCAGCATTGCAAGTGGGTTCCCATGGTTTTCCCAGCATATATTGCGCAAAGGTCTGGGCGGGCTCCCTTGGCTCTTGCAGTGTGTCAGCTCGGTTCCCTGTGGGGTACATGTGGGTTCCCATGGTTTCTCCAGCTCGCGCATTATGTTTCAGAGAAGAGTGGAACTGAAGAAGATGTTCAGGACAGTGGCTGCAGGTGTGGCCCAGTTCCATCGCACATCTTGCGCTGCATTTGGATTTGCTGCTTTGAAGTAAGGCTGCAAAAAGCACGTCTGCTATCTGCAGTTTGGGTCGAGACCAAAGACGTTAAACAGGCTCACCTCTGATGCACATGAGGCTCGCCGCCCTCCTGTGGTAATGCTCTTGATAAGTTTGCTGCGGCTAAATGCTGGCACGCTGATGCGAGGATTTTGCGCATCTACTGGCAGATGTTAATCTCAGCTTGTAGCTTCAACTGTTTCGATTGCTTGCTGTACGTGGGCTGTTTTTGCGCTGGGAAGCTCCACTTGCAGGAGCTCTTTTTTCCTACAGAATCGTAGGAAGCCTCGAAGGGCCTCCCCTGTATGCCTCCTCCAAACACTTGTTGGGGACCCTTCCCCAAATGCTGATCCTTCCCCAAACCCCCCCCTCTTTGCATTCCAAACTCTGCCCGCAGATTCACTTTCCAATACCTTCTGCAACACAAACTGCTATTCTTTTGAAAGAAACGGCACGTAGAATGCAAGGAGCATCCTGGACGTTGATTCACAGCTTTGGCAACACCGAGGTATCGAGTTGCTCTGTGTTCCAATCCGTGCATCTTGGTGGTTGGTGTAAGTAACAACACAAACCCACTTAACCTCTACGTCTCTCTGAGGAATCTTGCATGCCTGTTTGGAGAGTCTGACAATGTAGACTTCCGTGCCACCTATGGAACTGAGAGAGAGGGTTAGTCGTTCAATTTAGAGTGGGTTACTTTTCCATGGAAGTTAGTCGCCTTTCAATTTGGAAGTGAATTGCCTTTCATGCGGGTTGGTCGCCTTTCAATTTAGATTTGGTCGCCTTTCAATTTAAAGTAGGTTGCCTTTGAACAGGGTCGTCTTTCAATTTGCTGTTCTGCAAAGTAATCCTCCTCTCCGAACACTCTTGCTGGGGATGGCGTGGTCAAGCGGCCAGCAATGTGGCCACTCGCTGGTTCCACGCAGTATGGAGCCTTGTGGAGGCGGCACAACTTGGCTACGAAGCTCGGCCGTCAGGCCAGGATCTTCTTTAGCAGGCGCACCATCCTCGAATCGGACGGAAAAACTCGAACAGAGTTTTGGCTTGCGCTTCGGTAAATCCCAGTGGGGGGAGATTGGGCAACCGTTGTGAAATGAAGTCAGAGAATGAAGTACCCTCAGCAACCACCCAGTGCACGCTTCAAGGACTTGTATGCTGAGGGCCAGTACCAACGCTGAGGACCCGTAGCTTGTGCTGAACGGCCAACACCGGCAAAGTCTGTGTGCCGCAGCTAGCTTTCGCCCTCCCTTAATTAGGTGCTTTGTTTCACCGCTGTTTTCGTTTGTTTGTTGGTTTGTCTGTTTGTAGGGACCGAGTGCTACAGCCGTAGTCGACGAGGCCCGCTCACGCCAAAAAAATGAACAGAGCAGATCAAGCCATGCAGAGTTATCGTATCGAGAAGGTCGGCCGGAACAGATCATACAAGAGCGGCGGAATTTTCTGGAAGGTATCTCCACCAGATCTGAACAGGACTTCTTGAGCTGTGCAGAGGTTCGGAATGCTTAACTCCAAAACCCCCTCATGCACGACATGGGCTCACCTGGCTCTCGCCAGATTTTTTTTGCTCTTTTAGCAGATACCCATTTGCAACATTCCTTGCCTCTGCTGTTGCGTTCCCCTAAAAGAAACAGTCCGAACTGCACTTTGCGCTGTCGCACCGGAGGTTGCACCTCTCCTTCAATTTCTTTTTTTCCTTTTGAGTCAGTTCCAGTGTAATCGGAGTCTTGGATTTGCTTCATGCGCGGAGATGCGGAATTTGCTGAGCAACAAAATTTAAAAGGTTTTGGTTGGCATGCCGGCATGGATCGTTCGGCCAAAAATGCGACAAGCCTATCTCCGCTCAGGTGCCCCGAGGTCGGCTCCGAGCGAAGCATTTCTTGTATGCAGCATAGAAGGCCACCGAGCGTTCCCAAAGAGCATGCCAACCCGATCCAGCTTCTTGTGAACGGGCCTTGCAAGGGCAGGGAGTGTGCCGAGCACATGGTGGTGCCACACAGAATGAAGCCGTGAGTGGTGGCAGGAACACACCGTGCCGCCACCGCGCAGGCCCGTGGTGGTTTCTGAAGTCTGGAAACATGCGGACGAGTTCTGCGCTCCAGACGCTGTTCGTGAAAAGTGCCATTTGATTTTAGTGTTTTCGATTTGTCTCCAACTGTTGAAATGCTTTCTATTCAGGTGAGTGACGTGACCGCACTCGTTTTGCTTTTGGATCAAGAAAAAGATCGAGTGCTGCACGCTTTTTTCACATGGTAGCGGACTCCTGAGGAGCTGTGAAGCGCCACGGCCTCACCTGTGCAAGGTTGGAGTTGAGAGTTCTCCCAGAACGTTCCTGTGCCTGAGAAGACCAGCACTTTGAACTGTTTGGACCAGATTCTGTTTTGTCCTCTGAGTCTGCCTGCAGCGCAAAAGTGGAAGTGTTCCAGCTGCTGTGTCTGGAACGCCTATTCGGCCACCAGTGCCGCGGACGTCCACTTCGGGTGCGGACCAACTGCAACACACGCGTCACACGCGGCTCCAAATGTGGGGTCGAACAATCCAAGCAATTTTGGCTTCGCTTGAGTGGCCCCCCTCTGTTCTCTCATGTGTGTCACTTCCACAGGCAAGCTGTCTGTTGGAAATTCTGGTTCTTGGAGAATGATTTTTCCCACACTGGATGCCTGCCTGTGGGCGGGTCGTCTTGATGTAGCAGTCTGGAACGCACGGACTTGGGCTTGGGCCCCAGAATGAGGAATTCGCGACCCCAAAATAGGGGCCGCCAAGCGGCCCCGATTTTGGTCCTCTGGTTGCCAGTCAAAATATGTTAAAGGAGGTTGGCTGCATGTCGCGGCTCCTTTTCTGGGGCCGCGAGACGGCCCCATTTTTGGGGTCGCAAGTTTGATTCCTGCACCCACAGCGGCTGCGTCTCGTCAGCTGCGCATGTCATTGATTGTAATGACTTTGGGGAGCGTCTGGTGGAGGACCGTTTGGAAGGTCGGAACTTGTCCAAAGCAGCTGTGTGCTCGCCCTTGATGGTGCTGCAGCCAGCGGAATGCAACTGTTAAAAGCAACGACAGGCCAATTAGGCAAGGATGATCACATGGCGTGCATTTCAGGCTCGCTCCGTGCCAGCCGGCACCGGCGGTTCCGACTCCTTTTTCCAGAGCCAGCCGGCATCTACCCTACCCGTAACTGCTGTGACTTCAAGTGCCAAGCCCCTTGAGCTGCTTCTTGGCATACCGTGGTTGCCTTCGGAATTTGTCGAGCCGGCCTGCAAAGCGAAACACCCGCGCTTCTTGGACCAAGGTGTACCGGCCGGCATTGTCAGCAGGTATTGATCGCTTGTGTGAGCATAGCTCGGTCAGTGTGGCGAGGGACCGCACAGCCGAACTCGCAAATGCTTAGGAAGAAAGACTTGACGAGGGCTTGGATGGACCCGCGCATGGCTGGCTCTTCGGGAAATGGTCAAGTGCTGATGTGAACCTGCTACGAGATATAAAGAATGGTTTCGACCTGCTTGGCGAGATCCCCTCCTCGTCTGTCTTGCCGAAGAAAACCACTGTGGCATCTCTCATCGAGGACGTCAGAATCGCCACACCGGCGAATCAACGTGCGAGTTGGGAGGCTCGGAAGTGTACCGCCTTACCTTGGAGGAAAGGGATAAAGGGTGGCTGACCGGCTCCATTACTCTCGCTGATGTGACGGAGACTGCGATTGTTACTCGTGGCTTTGGTGTCAGGCCAGGTACGACAACAGCCACCGGTGTGGCGGCTGAGATTCGACCCATAGACGACTTCACAGAGAGCTTGGCTAACTAAGCTTCTCGGCCCGAGCTGTTTGCTGCAAGTCGGGGTGGGCGGCGCGCGTAGCTGTAGCAGTGCGTAGGTGCATGGTTTTCAGCTGACGTCGGTGCCTCTGACTCACATCTGGTTTTCACGCATGCTTTACTTTTGGATTTTGCTTGGTATTCTTTTCCCTTGGTCGTTTTCGCATGGTTTTCATTACAGCGGACTCAGCAGATTTCTCATGGAGCGTGACACGACAGATGCAGCAGCAACACATGATGTAGAGATGGCCGCTCCGGTCCCAAATCCGGAGGTCGAGTATGAGGAGGACACATCTTTTCATGTTTTCGATAGAAGCGAGGGTTGGAGGCCCCGCCGAGCCTCTGGGAACGGGGATGCACTTGATGATCAGGAACCACGAAGCCCCGTGAAAACAGGCGAATCAGGCCGACCTTGCGGCAAACCTTTTTCCTTTTACAGAAAGCGAGCTTTTAAGCGTGCTGTGGCCAGGGCGACAGTACATGGCACGACACAGTATCGAGGACAGACATGTGATTTACATGCTCTCATGGGACAGTATCAGGCAGGTGGTACGCAGCACTCTGGGCGCGCTCCCAGGATCAACGCTGCAAACACTGGTGCCTCATCCCAGTTTTCGCTCTCCTGTATATCTTGGAACTGTGGTGGTCTCAGCTCCCTCAAAGATGAATTGTTCACGTGGCTCGACGAGCACCCTTACGACATTGTCTTTCTTCAAGAGACCTGGCACAGGCAGCAGATGGACTTTGACACACGTGGCTATCATTGCATCGGGTCTGGAGTAGGCGCGGATGCCAAGAGAGCCCATGCAGGACTTTGCTGCGTAAGTCAGTGTTCCCGCAAGATTACATTAGATTTCATGATCCAGTTGCGGGACGCCTTCTTCATGTTAGGGCTTGGTGTGCAGGGGGCTGGGTAGACACTGTCAATGTGTATCAGTATGCACTTGGACAAAGCGGTGACCAAGCTGAGATCTTGCGGAAACGAACTACATTGTGGACATCACTTCGACAGACATATGGACACATACCACAAGGCAGCACTCTTGTATCTGCAGGTGACTACAACTGCAATCTGACCACCTTGAAATCTCACACAGGACCGGGAATGCTTACACCGACGACGCCTTCACCGGATATGGAGGACGTCGTGGCGATTGTACATGACTTCTCATTGATTGCTGTCAACTCATTCGGCAGGAAGAACAGCTACACCTACATTCATGAGGGGTGCAAGCCGGTGCGACGCTCCTTCATTGACTACATGTTTGTTAGGCAGAACAAGCACAGCGATTACAAGTCTGGACTTCTGCGTGATTGGCAGGTTGCGCGCTGGCGCCAAGGTGGAAGGCATCTCCCAGTGTGGTCACGATTTTCTATACGACGGTTCAGGACTCAGCAACCACAGCAGCAGCTTGAATGGCCTCGATGGTGCTGCCGCCTCCTTTCACAGGCCATCATGGAGCAGCCACAGCTGGCCGAGCGCTACACGGAGCAGGTTGCCGTCGCGTTGCAAGCTGCTGATACGTATGAGCCCAAGAAGTTGAACACCCTGCTGCTGGAGGTCGGGAGGCAGGTCTTTCATGTACAACGACCACCCAGCTTGCCGCCGCCCTGGACTGGAGCGCACCACATTGGCAGCATCAAGGATATGTGGCAGCATTATCGACTCATGCGCAGGTCTTTCGAGGAGGCCAATCGTTCTCGTGTGGGGCGACTCCGTTCGATGGTGCAGGCTTGGAAGCATAGGGTTCGTTTCCTGAAAATGCACAGAATGGTTCAGAAACACTCTCGACAACTACGCCGGACCAGGTTGGCACAGCTGCTTGAGGAGGCGGACGCTCACACACGCTCAGGTTGCAGTCAGGCGCTCTTTGATCTCATTCGGAGAGTGGCACCTAAACAAGCACGAAAACGAGCGCAGCTGCGGTCCAAGGAGGGCAAACTGCTTACTCCGGCTGAGGAAGCCCGTGCCCTACAGGATTTTTGGCGATCGGTGAATGGCACACCAGGGTCGCTCCTTCGTTCGGGACAGGCTTCCAGCTACAACGTGCTGCAGCAGGACATTGAGCAAGCCCTACGCGATCTTCAGGCGAGCAAGGCTGCCCCGCCCCATTGTGCTCCACATGCCTTCTGGAAACTGGCCTCTTCTCCAGTTGCTGAGTTCATGGAAGATAAGGTTTTCTCAAGCTGGCGAGAGGATCACGCGTGGGTCCCAGATGATTGGTCGGCGGCATGGCTGGTGTTCCTGCATAAAGTTGGCAAGGCCAACGACGACCCCGCATCATTACGACCCATCGCGCTGCTAGACCCAATGGGCAAAGCAGTCAGCGGTGTTCTGAAGAGGCACCTCGAACCATATCTGTTGAAGGCAGCTGCCACATTGCCACTTTATGGCTATCTAGCGAACAGATCCCCGCAACAGGCCCTCACGGTGGTCTATGAGCACTGCGACAGAGTTCGAACTGCAGCCCGAGCCCAAACTCGATCATGGTACGAACTACGAGCGGGACAGAAGAGGTCATCGTGTGCAGGGGGCCTCCAGGTCAGTGTGGATTTTTCTCAAGCGTTTGACCGTGCAGACCGCCAACTTTTGGTGCGTGCCTTGCAATTTCTTGAAGTGCCGGATGACTTGACCGATGTGATTCTCAGGTGGACCCAGAATACGGTTTTTCACATTGACAAGGCCGACGCGTCTGAGCAGTATCATTCTAGTACTGGCATCCGCCAGGGATGCAAGTTGTTACCTACATTGTGGTGTTGTCTGTACACCTATGTGCTACATGTTCTTGACCAACAACTTGGTGCGGAGTGGAGCTTAGAGCACCTGCTGGGATTCGCGGATGACACACACCTGCGATGGGAGTTTCAGGATCGAGAAGGCCTGCTCAAGGCGCGTGTTGAGGCGGGACGCGCACTCAGCATTCTTGAGGACCTCGGTTTCTGCATTATAGTCGGGATAAACCAGTATGCCTGCTCAAGGCGGAGGGTGTCCAAGTTCCACACCTGATGCGCAAAATCACGCGCAAACGCCTGCAGCCCAAAGGCACTCTGCTGGTTCTCGATGAGAGATGGACGTTACCGCTCAAACGCGACCACATCTACTTAGGAGCCGTGATCTCATATGGCAACTACGAGATGCTCAATGCACAACATCGCAGACATGCAGGACAAGCGGCTTTTTCACGCATGTGCACTACGCTTATGTCGCACCGTGCTCTCTCCCTCGACAAGAGGCTGCATCTGTGGCGTACCATTGTCCTGCCGGCCACTCTGTATTCCTTGTCTTCTTCAGGATGCACCAGGAAATCCTTTGATCTCATCCGGGTCCTGATGGTCAGGCAGATTCGTGCCATTGCCCGCAGTCCGAGACACCTCACTGAGGAGAGTGATCTGCATCTACTACAGCGCCTACGGCTGCCTCAAATACATGAGATGCTGCTTCAGGTCCACAGTCGAGTCGTTGAGGCTTCCACTTCTTTGCGCCAGATCCTTAGTCCACAAGATGTACGTCTCACGCAGGATATCGTCCAGCGTGAATGTCGGCTCCTTGAGGTTTTCAAGCAACTTGTTGCTACGGATGCAAAGGCTGCTGGCACGCCGAACAGGCTCACGTGTGAGCACTGCGGGCAATCCTTTGACAATGATGCAGCCCTGCGACAACACAAAGGTCGTATGCACAGCAAGACCAGAATGGAGGCGGCACCCACGGTGTTCGACAGGCAACAACATGGCACTGACGGCATGCCACGTTGCCGTGGATGCGGGCATCCCTTCGCTAGGTGGGGGGACCTTCAGAAGCACATCGAGGAGGAATCACTGCCAAGGCAAAATCCAGGAGGAAGCGCCCGCCCCTGAAGAGCGGCCCTCCGTTCTGCAACAGGCTCGTGCTGGTGCGCTACATGTGCAATCGATCACTCTGTCCATGCTGACGGAAGAGCTTAGGCAGGAGCTGCTCTCACATTGTGCGTGTTGTAGACAGTGGATGCCCAACTCCAGATACGTCAAGATGCACTGGAATCGAGTGCACAAAGCTGAATCCCAACAGTTTCAGGCTCGTACACTTCAGTGGCGACGTCTTTCTTTTGAGCCCATCAAAAACACCTGTCCTTGGTGTCAGGGAACAACTGCGGAACGCTCGGATGATCGGGACACCTGTCCGGTCCTCTTTCAGCTCAGTATGGTTCGGGCCATCATCCTGTGCACAGACGAGGCTGAATCTCCGGAGGCTGAGACAATGATGCCGGATATGACTATTCCAGCAAAGGACGACATACCGTCATGGAACATGGAGTGTATGCTGTGTCGCGACTCGTGCACTGCCAGAGGGTTGCGCAAACATTTCGATCAGAAGCACCACGCGGTTTGGAATCAGGCTCAACCTAAAGTGGACTTGCTTTGCGCGGCTTGGGCAAAGGGACTTGAAACCAAATGTCAGTTTTACCGCAATGACCCCCGGAGCAGCACAGGCAGCGCTTCAGGAGGTGTTTGGATCCTTGGTTGCGGAGAACGGGCCGCTGATGGACTTCGGAATGGGCTCCAACGTGGGCAAGCGCAACTCGGGCGCGGCAAAGGAGGGCGACCGTGGCATCAGCAGGGCCGGCGCTTTGTTTCCGAGTCCAGCAACCAGCAGCCGCAGCAGCAGGAGGAGGTGAGCATGGAGGACTTGTTGCGACTCCTGTCTTCGATCATCATGCGACACGAAGACCAGTTGAAGATTCTGAGACAATCAACGGGATGGGTGTTGTTCGCAAAGACAGCTTCTCCGTCCATTGTGCCGGGGATCATCCAGGCCTCCCAGAAGTGGAAGACCGAGGTTGTCAAGCCGGATTGCAAGTTCGCTCACGTGAGCTTGCGAGCAATCCTCTTCTGGAATCTGGTGGAGCAGATGTTGGCGGTGCTACAGGGTCTCACGCAGGAGATGAAGGACAAGGCTGTGGAAGCGGGGTGGATGAACAGTGCGGGAGCGTGGGTGTTTCAGGAGTGGTCGCACGAGAAGCACTGCCTGCAGATCGACAGCACAAGGGATCCAACAACGACGGAGGAGCTCCTCAACATTCTGCGCGAGCTGAAGACTCTCGCGACCTCGGAGGTGATCTCGGCGTTCTTTTCGAATCGGCCGTTGACGGAACACATGCAAGGGCACATGGTCGTGTTTCAGCTGGATGTGTCGTTCAGAAAGGAGGTAGCACACCGTTTCTACGTGTTGTTGGAAGCTCTTCAAGGCCAGGCCTCCCTTCAACTTTGCGGTGTCCAACTACGCAAAGAGGGCTTCCGGAGATCGCCGGCGGTGCAGAAGCTGGCAGAGATGCTTCGATGAGGACGCTCATCCTGCGCAACCCTTCCAATTACTGCTACATGAACTCAGTGATGCGGAGCTTATTATGGACCATTGTGCAGGATCCTACGCTTGATGGTTCCTTTGGCATCGCCGGGCTCACCTTTCTTAAGAAACTACTGCAACACAAACAACAACCCGTGTTCATTGCAGGTCAACTGATGTTCAACTTCGCTCTCCGCGGATGGAGGTCACCGGCAATACAACACGATTGTGCAGAGTTCTTTTCACACATCATTGACCGCTGGGGCATCACAGCATTTGAAGGTGAGTGGGAAGCTCGTACAACGTTTGAGGACTCTCCGGGACAGGTTCGATGTGAGTGCTCTGATGCTGGTCAGTGCACGGAGGCGATATCAATCGACCTACCTGAGGGGCGAGTGCATACTGCTCAGTATCTTCTACATTGCTGGCACACGCAAGCTCACCCCCATGCCTTGAAGGTCGCACCGGCTCTTTTGCTGCTGCGCTTTTCTCGATATGTACAGGCGGGCCGAAGGATCAGAAAACGTGCTTGCAAGATTACTTGGCCGCGGCAGCTTCACTTGCCGCTTTTCAGGGGGAACGATGATCTTACATCAGGCACAATCGCCTACGATGTGCTGGCAGCCATCTCACATCATGGTCCCACCCTGAGTGCGGGCCATTATACGACTTTGCTCCATGCGGCAGGGGGCGATCTTCATTGCGATGACAATACCGTTCCAGAGTTCAGGGTTAAAGCCTCAGATGACACTACCCCATATTCGTCCAGTACAGTTTATCTTTTGTTGTGCAGGCGCACAACGGAGTCCGGCCCTTTGGTGGTCGGGTTAATGCGATCTTCTTCTTTCGGGGATCCACAACTCTGCCAGCACAGGTCACTCCTGGGGTGATGAGAGTGACGGTCCAACGGTTGTGGAAGGTTTTCTCAGGGATATCTCTGCTCTCAGTGCAAAATCAGTGGAGCTTGCTAATGCTTTCAGTGCAACCGTGCATCAGCGTGACTCTTGATTCTACATGGTGTACAGTTGGGCATGCTTGCCGGTGCACTCCAGTACCAGCTTTTTCATTCGTTTTGCGCCTGCATGAACATGCAACGTTGCGTTCCAACACGGTCCACAGTACGTCTTTTCTTTCAGGATTCTTGGGTATGAGCTGGTTTTCTACACATGTCGGGCACCCATGTTCCGGATGCTGCCATCCATGCACCCTGGTTTGTGGAGGGACGCTTTGATGTGCATCTTTATTATCATGATTGGCCGGATCCCTACGAGCCCACTTCGCCGACGGTGATTGACTCCGATGTTCAGTCCAGCTCTTCTGCACACACGGTGGAGTATATTCGGGATGACAATGTTGATGATGGGCCACCCTTGCTGCGCTTATCATTCTATGTAGGTACCCCAAGTCTGCCACTGATCGAGCCTGACCCAAGTCACACCGCGGAGTGTATGGCCAGGCACTTTCTACGAGTTGGCAGCTTCTTTGAGGATCAACTATCATCGTTGTGGGACCTACTTCCGCATGACAGCCCGCGTGGACATCAAACATTTTTCGATGGAGGCTCCACTGCTGCATTCTCGTTCACTACGGGTGCTTTTCAGGCTGGCGGACTGGTCGGCGTACGCAGCAACGCGCTTCAGATGCCATGGGTCACTGCATTGCTTTGTCGTATTGTGCACTCTGTATTGCTTGGCGAGGGTGCTGAGCATCATCACTTCACTTCGCTGTCGCTCTTGAGGAATGTGCATTCTGGCATACATAGAGATGGCAACAATCATCCTTCCTGCAACAGCTTGCTTATCCCATTGAGCCGCTTCTCAGGTGGTGAATTATGGTGCTACAATGCTGCTTCAGGGGACGTTTGTTATCCTGGTACTGATTTGCCGGGGCTGGCTCATGCAGTGACTCCACCTTTTCTGGAGTTCGACTCACACGAGCTGCATGGTACTCTTCACTGGACTGGTATTCGTGTGGTACTCGCGGTGTATCACATGAAAACTCCGGAAGCCTTGAGTGACGGCGAGATGCAATTCCTACGGCAGGTGGGTTTTCAGCCGTTGCATTCCAGTGAGATGAGTGAGACCTCGATGCGGTAGACTGTGAGCCGTAACTCTAGTGTGCTGCGCTGGGTTGTAGTTCGGCAGTGCTTGACTTGTGAAACTCCAGGCTGATGCCTTTACTAGTTTCGCGTAGGTGCCGTGTTTTGTACAGTAGTCGAGACTTGGTAATGTTACACGTTGCCTGGTCCCCTTTTCGTCTGTAGTTTGCTGCATGATCACGTCGCTTTTGGGTGCTACACCGGGTGTGATCTGCTGTGTTGCTTTTGGTGCTTAGGCACGGACATGGCTGAGACCTTGAGTCTCCGGGCTGTAAGCCTGTTAGGCCTACTCTAGGCGACCTTCGGGACAGGACGCTGAGTGTGAAAAAAGCTTGGCTAACTTGTCGTGCACTTGTGCGGAAACCATTGACCCGCATTCAGTGAACATCATTATGGCCGGGATCCTGAGGCGATGCAGATCACTCCGGAAGTCAGGGAGGGACGCACGCTTGCTCCTCCGTACAATCGATCTGCGAACAGCATATAAGCAACTTCCTTTGTCGGTGCGTGCCTTGGAGGATGCATATGTATGTGTTCTCAACCCGACTACGGGTGAGCCTGAGCTCTACCAGAGCCAGGTCTTACCGTTCGGTGCAAAGCCCTCAGTACAGGGCTTTCGTCGCGCGTCTGGAGCGATTTGGGCTGTGGGACAAGCCCTGCTGCACATCCACTGGTCTGTCTTCGACGATTATGTGGTCGTGGCCACACCGAGGAAAAGGGTCACCTTGATCTTGTGTTGCGGTCGTACTTTTCCTTAATTGGCTGGGAAACGTCGGACGAAAAAGACGATGGGTTCAAAAGTGTGGCAAAGGCCTTAGGAGTAGAGTTTTGCTTGGACGAGATCCACTTGGGTTTACTTCGGGTGCAGAACACAGAGGCCAGGAAACGCGAGCTCGTGTCCTCCATTGAATCCATTGTGAAGCAAGGTGGGGCGCATGCCAAGGAACTTGAGTGCTTGCGAGGCCGTCTTCAGTTCGCCGAGTCACAGGTGTTCGGTCGGGGTGCGGCCCAACGCATGCGAGCTATATCAGAAGCAATGAAGCTTTCGGGTTTTGTAGTTCTTGATGATTCCTTGACTGAGGCCTTGCTTTTCTTGAAAGACCGGGTTTTGCACGGGGATGCAAGGATGATCAAAGCCTGTGATCGCCCCACATATCACTTGTTCACGGATGCCTCCTATGAAGCAGACGTGCCAGCAGGTCTTGGGGGCATCCTTTATGGTGATGGGGGTTTGCTTCTTAGGTGGTACTCCGAGTCTGCCGACGTAGACGTTTTGGAGGCCATCAACAAAGAAGGCCAGCAAGGTCTGATCTACGAGTTGGAAGCGTGTGCAGCGGTGCAGGGTGTATTACAACTTACAACTTTGCAACTCCTTCAGTGACTGTAACACTGTAACCTCATCGAGGATGAAAGAGGAATCAGCAGAGGGTTCGAGAG